GACTCGACTTACAGATCGGCCGCTATTACGTCATTCCGGACGTAGCGACCTGCTCCGACGATCGTCCTTAATGTCAGATTCTGCTGGGCCTGCAGTCGCCGCCTCAGAGGGTCGCTCAGAAGTGCGTACCAGGCCGGAACAGCATAGGTGATGATGGTCCGGATATACATCTTGTATATCCGGAGCTTGGTCTTAATCGGAAGCTTGGATGCCAGGACCGGCAAGAGCGTCGCCCGCGCACATCGGGCTCTGCGGACGACGAAATCGACGTGCGCGGTCATGCGCAGCATCCTGTCGATCCTGCACCCAAGGTAGGTTACGGCCTTCTGGTACGCGATCTTCTGGCCATTGAGGGTCAGCGGAGGTGGAAATTTTCTGAGACGGCGAGTGTGCAGAGCGGTCGTCTTACCAACGTTGACGACCATCCTCCACTAATCCAGCCATGGTGGCAACAGGTCCAGCAGACGCTGCATCCTGGCAGTGGCTATGTGGGCTCTTCTGGACGAGGTGAAATAGGCGCTATCTTCCGCGTATAGCGCCAGCTCAACGTCGTCCTCCCACTCTTGGAGCCTGTCTGCCAGTGTTGGGATGTCGTTAGTATAAGCCGCGTACAGGACTGGAGACAAACAGCTGCCCTGTGGAACGCCGGCTCTGATGGATCTGGTTGCGGACTCGGCGTCCTCTAGGCAGACGTAGAACTTCCTGTCTTCCAGGAAAGACGCCACTAGCCGCAATTTAGCAAGAGGGACACTGGTCTGTTCATACAGCTTATAAAGCAATCCTGAGTACCACACCCTGTCGAACGCCTTCTCAATGTCGAAAAAGACGCCCAACGATATGCGACCACGATTGTACTCTGCCGCAAGCAGGTGCAGCAATCTAGTCAACTGTGTGACTGTAGAGTGACCCCTCCTGAATCCGTGCTGCTCCGCCCGAAGTTGGATGCACGGACGGAGACGTCTTAGCAGCAATCTTTCTAGCAGTTTAGCTATGTGCGGTAATAGCGTGATCGGCCTGTAGCTGGCAGCTCTACGCATGTCCTTCCCGAGTTTCGGCAAGACGATGACTTTGCCTTTCTTCCAGTCTTCCGGGAAGTGGGATGTCTGCAATATCCCATTGTAGATTCGACCAAGTTCTACTAGGACTCTATTGGGCAGCTGTTGAAGTGCAGCGTTGGTAATCCCATCGTGCCCCGGCGCCTTCCTCGGTTGCAGACGGGTTACTGTTCTCCGCAGTTCAGCGGGGGAGATGAACCACTCTGCTGCAAGAGGCGGCGAGGGTGACGACAGGAACTCCTGTACGCGACTTTCCTTCCGGGCATGAAGCTCCATGAACTCCGCACTTGCTGGGTTCGGCATAAATTGCTCTTCGAAGTGCTCGACTAGGATATCCGCTCTGCCCTTAGCATCGTAGCAGCGTTCACCCGCGCTGTTGGTCAGCGGGCAAACGGGAGGTCTGGTTTTGGTCAACTGTCGGTTCAGTTTATAGAGCGAGACATCATGCTCATCCGCCTTCCAGATGCGCCGATCCCAGGCCTCTCCTCTGAAGGCCTGGACTGCAACCGACAGTTCCTCCGATAAGGTATTGAGTTGCTTTTTTAATCTGGGGCAGCGAGTACGCGCTCAGAGCTTCCTCATCGCTCTCTTGCGCCTGATCTGCACGCATATCTCTCGCGGCAGATCGTCTCGCCTTGCAGTGATCGGGAAGATCGTAGAGGCCGCGTGGAGGGCCTCCTGGATGTTCTTGGTAATTCTAGTAGCAGCGGCCTCTACGTCGTCCGCTGTGCTTATGGGATGGTGGACTGGAGGTCTTTCCTGCAGATGTTGGCAATAGAGCCTCCAGTCGATACGTGTCTTGAATGCTCTGGGCGGCGTTGTCACCGCCTTTAGGCCAAGGGTTATCAGAATCGGGAGGTGCTGTGAGCTGAGGTCGTACAACACTTCTGCCACTATCGGGTAGTTGACGTTCCTAGTGAGCACGATGTCCAATACATCCGATGTCTCCGTGGAGGAACGTGTGTTGGTTCTTCGGGACCTAATACGTCATGGCTGTTGTTCTCCGCGTCTTCGTAAAGTTCAAGGTGTTTGCCGTTTAGGTCCCCGGCGATGATGGTGTGTGTTTCGCCTTCCATCACCGTCCGGATGTGTCAGGAGCAGAATGGAGTCCCTGGCGGGCGATATGGTGCGTAGATCCTTAGTTCCTCGCCCGCCGCCTCCATTCTTATGCCGATAGAGCGCATTGTCTGGTATGATGGTAAGTCCAGCTCTTGATGGACGATGTCCCCCCCACTACAACCGCCGTCCCTCTGTAGGCGGCCCCTAGAGAAGTGACCTCGTCCCTTTTGTACAGATGATAGTTTGGCAGCTTTATATGCGTCTTTGTATTTAACTTTGTCTCTCCCGGCAATATGACATGTAAGTCCTGTTGTAGGGCGACTGTGCGGAGTTCATGCAGCTTCTGCTGTATTCCGTCCGGGTTCCAATAGAGGAGGCGCAGATTACTCTCCTCCGTAATGCCGGGCCAGGAGGTTTGCCAGCGCCTTCATTATCGTGGTAACTGGGTCGCTCTTATATCGGCCAGGACTTGAGTGTCGACCTCGATGGCAATGCCAACCAGTCGTTGGATTGCATCTGCTGTTTCGAGGCTGGCAGTAGGTGGTCTCCTATATGAAGGCGTTGGCACTGGTCTCGGGTGTTGATAATCCTGCACTCTTGGCTTATGGGTAGAGCGGGCTCTATTTTCAGATAGAGCCCTTTCTGGCACTCCACCCACGCTCTTTTTGGTCGTCTCCCGAGTAATCTGCGCCTGTGAGGCTACTGGTCCTGTTGGTGTCGGGGTAAGAGGTAACAGCCTGAGGAGGCTGCGACTTCTTCCTGCTCCTCTCCCACCTCCTCCTTTTAGAGGGTTGCCGCTCTGTGGCGGGGTTGGCGGGGGGCTGTAGAGTCGCCCCAGTGGTTGCCCTTATCTCTGCGGGTTCCGCCGTTTCCATAGGTGTTACGGGTGGGGGGGGGGGCTGGTTGCCTACCCTTTCCTGTGACGGTTGCCCACCCGTCTTTCTGGATGGTTACGGCTTTTGGACGACTCTGGAGGATCTTTTTCGGGTCCTCCGGAAGTAGCCCCGGCAAAGTTATCCCCTGCCTCCTAGCAGTCTTCCTCAGGACTGGGCAGCGGCGGTCATTTGCCGTGTGGTTTTTGCCACAGTTGGCGCATTTAGGTTCCTCCTCTCTACCCCGAGGGCAAAGGCTCGCTATATGCTCTCCGGCGCAGCGCACACACTTCACTGGCCAGAAGCACGTTTTATTGAACACGCAGGACCGCGTGGTCTTATATTTTGACAGAGGGTACACCTGCTTATGGCTACTCCTCTCCAATCCGCTGGTGGCCCGTGGTGCTCTATGTGATTCTACTGTATCTTTTTTTTATAGAAGAGGGGGCAAACGAGCATGCGGCTCACCTGATGTTAAGTGATTACCGCCGCCTATGATCAACCGCAACACCAGGGGAATTGCAGGTGCGTTGCCGGCCCTTTAGAAAGGAGTAAGCTCTTTTCTTGAAGGTCCCCAGGTCGTATCGGTCCGGAAAAATCGCCGGTGGTAAACTATTCCACAGAAAGGTTGTACGCGGAAGAAAACTCCTTTTGAAACGTACAGTGGTGGACCGCCAAGCATCCAGATGGTGTGGATGGTATCGGGACGTTTGCCGCGTAGTGCGTTCACGAAATTTGGCGGCTGGGATTAATCCGAACAATTCCTCGAGCACTCTCCATGGTATATGCGAAAGAAAATGCAAAGAGATGCAACATCTCTTCGCAATGCCAGTGAATCGAGCCGATCGGAAAGCACTCGGTCGTCGACGATTCGAGCCTGGATGCAGTCAAGTGGAAGGAGCTGGTACTGGGGAGCCCCAGCCCAGAGATGGGAACAGTATTCCATGTGCGGCCGAACCTGCGCCTTGTAAAGTTGCAGGCGGTGTGCCGGCATGAAATACTGTCCCGCTCTGTTGAGCACGCCAAGCTTTTTTAGAGGCCAATTTGGCCTTCTCTTCCAAGTGACCACGAAACTGCACGTCACTCGATATGTCGACGCCGAGGATTCCAATACTGGCTGAGGCAACAAGGGGAGTACCTTGAAACTGAGGGGATACGACAAAGGGGTTCTTTTTAGCGGTTAACGCGCAAACTTGTGTCTTCTGGGAGTTTCGTTTCGTTTCTACGTTTAAATAAATGTTCGAAGTGGATTTTGCTACAAAAAAATTATACGATTTCCTAAAGTCAGTGTCTTCGTATGAGCGCTTTAAGAAGAAACTACGCAACAAGTAATTCGATGGCATTAATTTACCTAAAACATCTTGAAAATTTCAAATATTATCGTTATCTACTGTCTGCTAGCTTAAACAGTTGTCAAAATCTTCCAAAATTCGACAATATAGAAGGAACGTTTATTTTAAGAGCTTATTTCCCTTAACTTGACGCTGGCAAAAGTACCATCGTTCAACTTCATAACTAAAGAAAAAAAGAAGAAAATAGTGTCAATGTTACGTAAGACAAAATAGACAATAATATAATAATAATACAGTTATCTACTGTCTGCTAGCTTAAACAGTTGTAAAAATCTTTCAAAATTCGACAATGTAGAAGAAACGTTTATTTTATAAGCTAATTTCCCTTAACTTGACGCTGGCAAAAGTACCATCGTTCAAGTGCATAACGAAAGAAAAAAAAGAAGAATTTGTGTCAATGTCACGTAAGACATAATAGACATGGGTGCGTTGGCAAAAAACAAGCCACACGCAAGGGGCACTTCCAACAACAATAACAATAGACAACAACCACGAACATTGATAAATTGAAATTGTATTGAAAATAGTCGTGATTATAAATTAAATGTAAGAAGTGCATAAAAATTCTAATTAATGGTGTCTATTCAGTTAGAAATTAATACATGGAGACGTTGCTTTGTTTTATATAGATCTTGTTGATTCTGCGAATGTAATCAGCCAACATGGGCATATTTACTACTTCTTCTCCTTTTGACCAAGATGTTGGTAGGTACCATTTAATGATATGTTATCGTTCGTATTGTCTTTGTTGATTGCCGTTTCTTTGTCTTTTTTATTAAACTTAATTATTTAATATGATTCACTCTCAATATATGGCGCACGAAAAAACAAGAGTTTATTCATTTGCGTAAGGTGCATATGCAGGTTTTCTTTTAAAATAATAAATCTTATTGAACTTAAGTGTATTCCAACTTCTCAACAGGGATTATATAAAATTGTTAAGTCTTCCCTACAGTTTTGTAATAAAGATAGAAACTATGAGATGATATAAATAAAGGTTTAAATAATAAAATATGAGCAATGTGTAATTGCTACTTATTACCATTGGTTACACACTTGATTTTGGTTGATTGACTTGATTGGTTACACACACAATTAATTTAAGCACTCAAGGCTTCCTTCATATGGAATTCACTTAGGCAAGGGAGGTCCTGTGTTCAAAAGATAATCTACTGAAACACAATGTACCAAATAATTTCTCATATAAAATTAATTCAATTGTTTTAGCTTACCTTTCTATAAATGAATGAAGGACATACATAGGCTCTTACTTTATCTAACTTAAGGTAATTTAAGCTTAAGCTTTCTAGATATACTATCAGTAATGATTTAAAACAATTATTTAAAAAAGAAGGTTAATATTTCCAATATGGACCATCGATTTCAAAGCCCATATTTTTTTTTTTGTAGATAGTACTCACTAAAAGAAAGCGTTTTGCAAAGTTTTAGGTTGCGGAAACTTACAGTTCATGAGATAGATTTTTTTAAATTTTTCATACAAGTTGGCAAATAACACGCAATTACACCAATTACAAAATAAATTTGACAAATGATTGATGTCAAACGTCAATTAGTGTAGGGTTCCGAACATTTTGAAAGTATCGATACGTACTCCATACCAAGTATCGTATCAAAAGTATCAATACTACTTGGTATCGAGTACATTTCGTTAATTTTGGAGACTAGGGGGGTAAGAAGCTGGGAAGTTGTGCTCCGTGGCAGCTCCGGCGCTGCGGGATGAGCAGTGCCTCCGCCCTAGCATAGGGAAAGCGCAGGCACCTAGATTGCCGTAGCGGCTGAGGCTTAAAAAGCCGAAGCCTTAGCAATCAAATCAAAAGCAATCTCGGTGTCTGCGCTTCCCTACGGCGGGCGGGCACTGTTCTCTCTCTGCGCCTCCGAGCTCTTATATACACTCTAGGGGTAGGGCAGACAAGGCCACGTGGATAGTCGGGTGCTCTGATTCGGTTTTGGGTACTTTTTGGATTTTAAATAAGTAAATCAATAAGTAAGTAAACATAATGATTTCTTAAATTTACGCGAACACTACACATTGAATAAAACTATTATTTACGCTCCGGGAAGTCTGCAGTCTGCGAACATGTTCAAGATCGTCCCCACCATTACATTAGATTTGATAAACCACAAATTCTCGCAAAAGAACACCGATTCCTACCAAGGATGATACGCGAGGCTATTGAAATTAAAAAACATCCAAATTTCAATAGAGAAGATGGTTGGGTGCTACCATCTGCTTGGGATCCTATAATTAACAAAATTAAACCCAAACCCAAGCATACCACTGCAAGACTTCATGATACTATAAGCTCGTTTTGCGTAAATCGGACCAAAAATTAATATTAAAAAACTGAAGGTAGCCGGACTAACTATGACATTGGGACGTCAAACATCTTAGTCCCCCCCGTGACCATGGGCGCTGTAAAGCACCCGAAACGTCGGGATAATAATAAAAATAAATTAAAGTAATTAAACGCGATAAAATCCGTAAATAATAGTTTTATTCAAAGTAAGTAAACACTTTATTGTAGTAAGAATTAGATAATACAGAAAGTTGCAAACAATAAAATAAAAGTACAAAAGCTGTACTAATTAAGAAATACAAACAAGTTGCAAACAATGAAATACAAGTACTAAGGTGGAACTTAAATAGTGTAAACTTTATTCTACTTTATATACATATATAATTGCACTTATCAGCTCTTCCTATGCATCTAATTGGTTCGTCATAATTTTTCGTCTCCAAAATTAACGAAATGTACTCGATACCAAGTAGTATTGATACTTTTGATACGATACTTCAAAATATTCGGAACCCTACACTAACTGACGTTTGACATCAATCATTTGTCAAATTTATTTTGTAATTGTGTGTTATTTACCAATTTGTATGAAAAGTTTAAAAAAATATATCTCATGAACCGTAAATTTCCGCAACCTAAAACCTTGCAAAACGCTTTCTTTTAGTGAGTACTATCTACAAAAAAAATATGGGCTTTGAAATCGATGGTCCATATTGGAAATATTAGCCAAAAAGAATAACAATTAAAGGGAATGGAAACAAAGATAAATATTCGGGCAATTTGCTAATGACAATCTTCTGAACTGTATACTGTAAAATATGAATTGTTATTGAATAATTGTATAATATAAAAGATAATGAGTTTTAAATATCTTACAATTATTTTATATTTTATGGTTTTCAACTGATAGTATTTTGTGTTTACAAAAATAAAGATGTTAAATTTATAGGATTCACAAGTGAAAACTAATTATATTTCCTGCTTGGGCTACCTCTCCATCTCATCTCCATTTGTTTGTAAAAGACAATAATATTATAAGTAAAAAGGTGTAGATAGGTTACCTACACAATATTCGATCTTCAAAAACGGCACACTAACGCACACATAAACAACATAATATTGCAATAGCACAATACATTACGATTAGATGTCAAAGTAGGATGGCATGATTAAACTATTGTAAGCGTAAAAGAGACAAATGTAATTTGCGACAGTGCATGGTCTCGTGTAGTAGGAACAATGTAGAATAATTAATCAGATATCACATTATACCGTACACCGTTATTAATACCTAAAAGATAGAGAGAGAGTACAAGAAATATGTACACCATTTGAATTGATAATACTCAGAAGAGACCTATCTGTTTTTAATATTTTGATCAGAAACAATATCACTTCTCTTTCAAACTCATTCATTTGGGTTTTTTTATATAAATACGAAAATAAATTAAGGAAATAATAAACGAATAAAATGTTATTCCTTTTGACTTTTGGAAACCTTTCTTGTGTAGTTTATGCAGAATATCATCACACATGGTGGCATTTTTGGTGCAAAAACAAAACACAAATTACTTTCAGTGTTGTTGTCAATGACGCGACGATAGCGCGACGACTGAGCTCAGGTTTGCTAATTAGCATAGTTTTTAAGTGCCGCTTGCGGTGCGCATATACCTATCTACCTCTTTCTCTTATGATATCATTGGTAAAAGACATGGGCCTCTCATTTTGTATTACGGCCCAAGTAGTACACAAGTGGTATAACAGAACTACAGCAGCCACTTAACAGGTGTACTTAATGGCTTTACTTTCATAAATAAGTGCTACAGTAGCTAAAAAGAACTTCTCAATCATTTCTGCGTCACTGAAAAGGGCCTTTATTTGGGCTTCAGTGCTAGAGTAGGAGTACCATAGTGGCATGGTGAGTTTGTAAAGTGATACAAAGCTGAGTGAAATGTGATTATTGGAGCTAAAAGATATACAAGAAGTTCTTGTGCCACCTTTATAGAATTTGCATATGATTATAATGCAACTGTAACTCATAACTAAATCTTAAAGTATCTTAAAGGTATTTTTTAGTAAGAATTAGTTGAATAGTTAGATTTAGTTGCAGGACATAAATGACAAATATTATTTCAAATTGATTGTGATGTGTTATGGTGGCAAATATTAAAAAAAAGTTGATTAGTGTAAAGTAAGATATAATGGTTTAAATTCACTTTTATATGTAGTACATTAGTGCAAGCATAAGTTTTCTGTTAAATTATACATTATTTAAGCTAAATTATATTCCTGCGCCCTTGAAACCTGTGAAATTTGCTGTAATTTATCTTACTAAAGCACTTTAAAATTTTAAGGTTAATGTTGCATTTTGCTTTCAGTTGAGTTATTGGAACTTGTTGTGAACTTATTAGGGCATGAAATTTAAAAGGGTTTATTTATTGTGAAAAGTATGCTCTCTAACATAAGAAAACTGATCGGTTTATTGACACACATAGTTCATGAAATACTGCCAGGTAATGGCATCTTTTTACAAAAGCCTTAGATGAATACTATATCCATTTTAATAATTTAAGAAGTAGTACAGCACTGGTGATAATTATTTTAGAGCTTTAAGATTTCTGATCACCGAACTATGGAGTATTTTTACTAATTTTCAGGTACAAAAGTACATAAAAACTTTTTTACTATAGAAAAAATTTAAGGTCCGTTTGTAATTTGAATGAATTTCATTAAGACACACAAGATAAAATAATTAATATTAAAGGTCTTGTACAAACTTTACTGTATTAATGTTATGTAATGTAACTGTGGTAATACAGAATAGATTAAAAACTCCAACAGCCATATAAAATATCTTTTTTATCTCCAACTCCAAAATTGTGTACCTGGAGCTGAGTCTGTAATAAAGAATGTCTAAGTGATAAATAATTAAAATTTGGATTGTTGTGTGCTCACTGAATTATGATTTTGACTATTTTTATTATCTACTAAGTGGCTTTGTAATGACTTAATTGAAGGTTAATGGGAAGGAAATGATTGGTATGAGCCAGGTATAACATGTAGGTGCAAAATTCAAGCATTATAATATAGCAGCGCAATGCCTGGCTATTCATTTTGTGTGTGGCAAGAACTGATGTAATAATTTCTGAAATTCAAGCATTATAATATAGCAGCGAAATGCCTGGCTCTTCATTTTGTGTGTGGCAAGAACTGAAGTAATAATTGCTGAAATTCAAGCATTATAATATAGCAGCACAATGCCTGGCTCTTCATTTTGTGTGTGGCAAGAACTGATGTAATAATTGCTGAAATTCAAGCATTATAATATAGCAGCACAATGCCTGGCTGTTCATTTTGTGTGTGGCAAGAACTGATGTAATAATTTCTGAAATTCAAGCATTATAATATAGCAGCACAATGCCTGGCTGTTCATTTTGTGTGTGGCAAGAACTGATGTAATAATTTCTGAAATTCAAGCATTATAATATAGCAGCACAATGCCTGGCTGTTCATTTTGTGTGTGGCAAGAACTGATGTAATAATTGCTGAAATTCAAGCATTATAATATAGCAGCACAATGCCTGGCTGTTCATTTTGTGTGTGGCAAGAACTGATGTAATAATTTCTGAAATTCAAGCATTATAATATAGCAGCACAATGCCTGGCTGTTCATTTTGTGTGTGGCAAGAACTGATGTAATAATTTCTGAAATTCAAGCATTATAATATAGCAGCAAAATGTCTGGCTCTTCATTTTGTGTGTGGCAAGAACTGAAGTAATAATTGCTGAAATTCAAGCATTATAATATAGCAGCACAATGCCTGGCTGTTCATTTTGTGTGTGGCAAGAACTGATGTAATAATTTCTGAAATTCAAGCATTATAATATAGCAGCACAATGCCTGGCTGTTCATTTTGTGTGTGGCAAGAACTGATGTAATAATTTCTGAAATTCAAGCATTATAATATAGCAGCACAATGCCTGGCTGTTCATTTTGTGTGTGGCAAGAACTGATGTAATAATTTCTGAAATTCAAGCATTATAATATAGCAGCACAATGCCTGGCTGTTCATTTTGTGTGTGGCAAGAACTGATGTAATAATTTCTGAAATTCAAGCATTATAATATAGCAGCACAATGCCTGGCTGTTCATTTTGTGTGTGGCAAGAACTGATGTAATAATTTCTGAAATTCAAGCATTATAATATAGCAGCACAATGCCTGGCTGTTCATTTTGTGTGTGGCAAGAACTGATGTAATAATTTCTGAAATTCAAGCATTATAATATAGCAGCGAAATGTCTGGCTCTTCATTTTGTGTGTGGCAAGAACTGAAGTAATAATTGCTGAAATTCAAGCATTATAATATAGCAGCACAATGCCTGGCTGTTCATTTTGTGTGTGGCAAGAACTGATGTAATAATTTCTGAAATTCAAGCATTATAATATAGCAGCACAATGCCTGGCTGTTCATTTTGTGTGTGGCAAGAACTGATGTAATAATTTCTGAAATTCAAGCATTATAATATAGCAGCGCAATGTCTGGCTGTTCATTTTGTGTGTGGCAAGAACTGATGTAATAATTTCTGAAATTCAAGCATTATAATATAGCAGCGAAATGTCTGGCACTTCATTTTGTGTGTGGCAAGAACTGAAGTAATAATTGCTGAAATTCAAGCAATATAATATAGCAGCACAATGCCTGGCTGTTCATTTTGTGTGTGGCAAGAACTGATGTAATAATTTCTGAAATTCAAGCATTATAATATAGCAGCGCAATGCCTGGCTGTTCATTTTGTGTGTGGCAAGAACTAAAGTAATAATTGCTGAAATTCAAGCATTATAATATAGCAGCGCAATGCCTGGCTCTTCATTTTGTGTGTGGCAAGAACTGAAGTAATAATTGCTGAAATTCAAGCATTATAATATAGCAGCGCAATGCCTGGCTCTTCATTTTGTGTGTGGCAAGAACTGAAGTAATAATTGCTGAAATTCAAGCATTATAATATAGCAACGCCATGCCTGGCTCTTCATTTTGTGTGTGGCAAGAACTAAAGTAATAATTGCTGAAATTCAAGCATTATAATATAGCAACGCCATGCCTGGCTCTTCATTTTGTGTGTGGCAAGAACTGAAGTAATAATTGCTGAAATTAGTGTTTCCAAGGTTTATCTTGATTGTTATCAAGAATCAATAAAGAATTGACTCTCTTAGTGGCCTAGTGGTTTTAAACACCACTGCCGATCATGTGGTCCCGTGTTCAAATCCAGTGTCAGGTCAAAATCAGCTATTGGGTTTCTGTCAAAAAGTTCTCATTAGCAGTGGGGAGTAAGAAAGTTGGCGGTCTTTCTCCCATGTGACTCTGAAAGCACTTTTGGTTTTGCGCCTCATCTCTCGTTGTGTCAGATTGCCATCTCATCAGAATATGAGTTTAATGGAGTAGAGAGTACATCTGTGCTTGTGCACACTTGTGTCCTATATTGCTGGCCTACACAAGTAGCTAGTAGCTAGTCTCGGTTGGGACAACCTTCTGTGACTTAATGTTGCCCAGAGGACATATTTTATTTTTAGACGAGCTGAACCTGTGTTCAGCAACGTTTTCTATTTTAGCGCATGTAATTTAATTTATTAATTGCTTTGCTTGATTTAAAAAAAGAAAATAAAATCAAAAATTTTAAATTTTGTATGTCTCAATTTATTCAATTTTTTAAAATTATAAAACTTCTCCATTGAAAATAACATGTATACACCATACCACTATATTTCATGGTGATTGATCGAATAGATTTTGAGTTAAATAATTTCATATGTACAAACATCCTCTTTTATACATATAGGGTTATTGTGCAATAACTGGCCGAATTTGCAGAAAAAGTCCAGAATGAGTAATGTAGGCAAATAGTGAAGGAAAATTAATTAAGAAAAATCTCAAACATCATGTCCTTTTTGTGTTGAAAATTCAAAATGTGTGGTAATGCATTATTTTAAGTGATGTTACTGTGCACGCACACATATGTAAGTGTCGATCGGTAGAGAAAAACATTGTTGTTCATAAATCAAATAAAAGTAGAAGCCTTATTTACTTGTATTTTCAAAACCTATTAAAGTACAGTATATAATTATTTATATTATTGAACTTAGGTTTAAAATTTGGCAACTGTTTGAAAAATAACCCTGTATAGATAAATTATTTTATGTGTTCTGCAACCTTGTCAACAAAAGCAAAACTAGCAAATATTCAATTTTTCAGTTGTATAAAATTTTATACTAACACTATAGGCTGTTTTAATTAGCAGACGTAGGCTGCAGATCTACTGTATCTCTGTGTAATATGTGTATGTAATATGTATAATATTCATCCATTACAGCCTATAATAAAATAATGTCTATATAAAGGTAGTTAGGTAGGTACTTTAAGTAGACATTTTTTACAACTACTTTAAATATGAACTTTTATACTATGAAATTGTTTTCTGCTTGGGATTCGTGTAGTAATTCTATTCTATTACCTATTTCTGTCACCAATTAGCATTGGTTTGTGGTGTGCAGGGCATTGGGCCAGTTCACAGAAAGCTGCATTTACAGCTTTCTGTATATAAAGTGGGCTGCAGGTGTCCACGCACTGTGTTGGCCGTTACTTACTGTACGGTCGACTGTAAGTTTACTTGTCATATTTGTTTGACAAAACAAATGTTATGGTGGAGTGTAATTGCCTGTGACAGTTGGTTTAATCATGCTTGTGTACTTGTTTAATTTACTCAATGTAATATAAAACATTGTTTTGTATATATTATTTTCGTTTTTTACTATCTTCCTATATTTATAGATGTTAATTCTCAAAAATAAGTTAAAATGAAACATAATATAATCTGTATAATAGGTTTTAATTTAACATCATTTTGAACTATTTGCTTACGGTACAATTATATTTACATATTTCATTTTTTGTAGCTTTACACACCTAATGATAATATGTTAGTAACCATGCACCTGCTAAGTGTTGTATTTATGGTAAAACTACTCAGGTTTGACACAGCATGTAGATTAATTCTGTGAAAAAATTGAATACTTTTGATTCATTTTAAAATGACGTTTTACTTCTGGAATAGGATTTAGGCAGTCATTAGAATGAATTTCTTCCCGATCTCTCTCCAATGTTTTTGGAACACTGTCTTATTAGACTATGAGAGAGGGAACATAGAGTGCACGTGTGCTTACGCATACACTCCAGAGCTATAATCCTATCCTGTGCAGTTGGCAAATCATTGTTGAAGGTAACTGCCTCAACATTATTAGAATTAATTTTCATTGAATAGGTGGTAGAGCCCTGCTGCAGCTATATTATGGTCGCTGAGTTTAGAGAAATCTTTTCCAAAAAAAAGAGTCTATGGTTTTCTACACTCACCATACGAAACACAGCAGCATTAAGCTATTTTACAGTGGTATTCTGTGAGAGCGTGGTCTTATTTCGGTCGAGTTGACCCATTTATGCTACAACCATGATATAACTACAGTGTGGCTCTATAAGGTATAGGCGTTCAGAGCATTTGCATTTGATTTTTAATCGAGGATAAATGTAGATGACAGCATCCACTTATCATTGGGTGGACTGTGCGCTCGTTTGTCGCCCTTATTCAATAAAAAAACGAAATTGCGGTGTCAGAGCGGGCGACGAGCGAGAACAACACCAGCGAGGAATGGGGCCTGATCATGGAGATCTGCGACCGCGCGGGCGCGTCGGCCGCGAGCGCGCGTGACTGCTTGCGAGCCGTGTTGCGGCGCCTGGCGCACGCCGACCCGCACGTGCAGGTGCACGCCGCCACGCTGCTCGACGCCTGCGTCGCCAACTGCGGTCGCGCCTTCCTGCTCGAGGTGGCGTCGCGCGACTTTGAGCTAGAGTTCCGGCGCCTACTGGCTCGCGCGCAGCCGCCCGTGGCGCAGCGCCTGCGCGCGATGCTGCGCAAGTGGGCTGAGGGCGAGTTCCGCGACGACCCGCAGCTCGACCTCATCCCCTCGCTGCACGCCAAGCTGGCGGCCGAGGCTGGCGAGCGCGCGCCCTCCGCAGCGGCCTCGCTGCTGGCGACCGGTGCGGCTGCAGTAGGCGGTGTCACCAGTGCCGCCGCCGCCACGCAGCGTGAGCAGGACGAGCTGGCGCGCGCCATCGCGCTCTCGCTCCGCGAGGCGGGCCCCCCCGCCGGCACCGCCGCACCCACTGCCCTGTACCCGCGTGTCGACGCGGCCGACACGCCGGCTCCTCGCAAAGTGCGCGCCCTTTACGACTTTGAGGCGGCCGAAGACAACGAACTCACTTTCCTCGCGGGCGAAATTGGTCCGTAAACTTTACCACATTACCACATACATTTACCTCCCTTATTTGTTGGGAACGCTGTGATAACTATATAATTTTTTGATGCAGTTCACGTGACAGATTCGAGTGACCCTAACTGGTGGAAAGGTTACAATGATCGCGGCGAGGGTCTGTTTCCGGCTAATTTTGTCACTTCCGACCTCAGTGAACCGCGACCCGGTGAGTTCTCTTGTATTTTAAGTCCTAGTATGCAGACGCGTATGTTTAATTGCTGGTAACTGACAACGTTATTTCTTATAAAACATATTTTGGAGTAAAATGTTAATATCAACTTAAGTTTATTATTATTTTTTATACTTAATAAAAGTAGCGAACTCTTCAGAACACTACGACATCATAATATTAGTACTTAAAAGTTTGAAAACTGTAAAAAAATTACTTTTGTTTGATTACCTAATTAATTAATTTTGTTTAACTAAATTAAAGCTTAGCAGTATAATAAGAATATTGCTGTAATATTCGTACACAATTTAATTTTAGTGAATAAAGAGATTGATTGATTGGTACTTGTACTCAGGCATTTTCGTAAAGACTAGTAGTTTTAATCTGACTCGTTAATAATTTTTTTCTCATTAACTTTATTTCGTTTTCAAAGAGTTTTTCATCTAGTTATAACCAGTATTTTAATTTAGCATTTACCTAAGTAAACCCTGAAGAACATTCCATGGCTTCCCACATGATAGATGAAGAGATTAAAAAATAGATTGCGTTGAACAATTGATATTTTCTAAAGTTATTGTATTTAACCCGCCATGCATAAACCGACACTATAAGCCACTAAAACCACTCTTTAATGTAAAATAGCAATCGAGAGTCGGAAAATCAAAGCGAGAGTGAGTAGTGCGGTATTCTACTGAGCAGACGTGCATTTGGTTGTCTCTTTAAAAGCAAAAAAACTGTGTTTTCGCTATAGTAAACCTTAATCTAAAATAATAAAGCAAAATATTCAACAAGTGTGTAATGTGCGCTTACGACTAGCCGATACGGATCAAGAACCACAAAGGCGCCCCGCACCACCTCGGGTAACAAAGACAATATTATATTTTTCATCTCGGTCTCGATACCGGGAAGATACGAGCACTAATATAAAGACATCATTGCACTAGCGATTTGTTGTGAAGTCGTTTTTGGTGTATGGTACAAGTCATGAATGTCAGACGCTCACCACCTGGAAAAAGTAACTCGTACACTAATTTATCGTCACCTAATAACGAGTTTACAAAGTTTACGAGATGGAACAACAAATTACTCATAGAAAACGCAAACAGCCAGAACATAGTATTTGCAATTGCAATTGTTCGTCTGAAATTCAAGAGTTACGTATAGACCTTACAACAATGCTACAAAAATTCACAGACACGCAAGAAACAACAATGACCCTCATGCGTGAAAATATAGTAGATATGAGAACCCAGTTAAATGATATTAAAGAAGCTGCTGTAAACCTGAACAACGAGCAAAAATTAATGAAGACCCAGCTGTCAGATCTAGTAATAAAAACAAACTATACAGATAATAAAATCCAGACATTGATGACAGAAATTAAACAGATAAATAACAAAACTAATGCTAATGAGTCTGAAATCATGTTAATTAAAAGTAAGACTGCCATAAACTTACACTCATCTGGCCTTGGGATGGCTAACGGATGACCTATACAACAAGAAGTAGCAAAGAAGAGCGACATCTGTCTCCGCTCAGGGAAACTACTTCCAAAGCATACTTACACAAAAACGTCCAAAAGTTCACATAGTACAGCACCTTACTCACAGAGGGCATCACAGAGCTTAAGTATACAATACGGCCTAAAGTTAACAGAGGGCGCCACTATGTCGGAAATAGAAAAACTTTTAAAAGAACTAAGATTAAGATAAGATTAAGATATAATGCAAGAAATACAAGATCGTACATCCAGAGAAAGAAATATCATCATAGTGGGTTTACAAGAGGGAAATGTGACTAACAGTGAGGAAGGGCATTCTTACGATGCTAGCGAAGTAACAAAAATTATTAATACAATTGTGGAGGACTTTCCTAAGCCTAGTAGACTCTTTAGACTCGGGAAGTTTACACCTGGAAAAAATCGAAATATTAAAGTATGCTTTGAATCCCCGCTAACAGCCAAACTTCTACTACGCAACAAGAACAAAATCCAGAGTGGCATAAAAATTTTCTCTGACCAAACACCTGCACAACAGAAATATATAAAAGATCTGAAGATTGAGTTATCCCAAAGAATAACCAATGGGGAACAGGATATTACTATTAAATACATAAAAGGGTTTCCGAAAATAATTTCTACCAAGAACACAAAAAACTAATAGCTCAAAATATTAATTCTCCTACGACCTCAAACATGATTAAACAAAAACTTATCACCCATCAAATTTCAGACAATTACCAGAATATTACTCCTACCAAATCAAGCCTTAACTTCTTCTATGCAAATGTGAGAAGTATATGCAAGCCAGGTAAATTTGACGAACTTAATTGTATCATCCACTCTTTAAAAAAACTGTTCATGTTGTTTATATGTCGAAACATGGATCAGATCAGACGACCAAGCTAAACAATTTCATCTTCAAAATTATACTCATTACTATAATTTACGACCTAATGTCGTCGGTCGGCGGTGTTTCTATCTACGTACACAATAATCTGGAACAGGATCTTGTCACTGCAATATATATTGATGGAAATCACTACTTGAGTATTCGCCTTCACAAATACGCCCTCAATGTCGGAGTGGTCTACAAGCCTGGACATACAAACATCAACATTTTTTTATTTAACTATGAAGAACAACTTCTACATAAGAAACGAACCATTATTTTTGGTGATACAAATATTGACTTATTAAGCTCTGACAATTCAGCCCGCCGCTACAAAACAACACTAACTGAATCCGGATACAAGTTGATTAACAAAATAGATCCAAAATATAACACTCGGGAAACCACAACAACGTGTACAATAATGGATCACGTTTCTACTAATTTAAACGAAAAAAGTTTTCATATGGCCATAATTGACTCATCATTATCAGATCATAAAAATATTTATGTGGAATTGAAAAAAAGTAATCATCCCAAAGAAACAAAGAATACAATACGAGTCTACAGACTTCAAGAAATTATACGAGATGGTTAAAACATCAACTTTTAAAATTAATACACACGATTATAAGGAATTTGATGAATACATTAAAAAGCTCATTAGTGAAATCAAAACAAAAAAAAAATTAAAATACTAAATCAACCCCAAAAAGAGTGGATTAACAGGCATTTAATAGCAGCAATTAATGAGAGAAATGTGCTATGGAGTAAACTAAAACGTGATCCAAAAAAGAACAGTTAGAAAAAGAGTTCAAAACTAAAAGAGATTCTCTGGCACAAAAAATCAAGAACACAAAAGAAAATTACTTTTACGATGAATTCACAAAAATGTAGAAATAAACCTAAAAAAATGTGGAATCTTATAAAAACACTGTCAAATAATAAAAATGTTAATCACTGTGCTCCACCAAACCTAAAAGCCGAAAATGGTATAATAATTTCGGATGCCCTAGAAATATGTGAAAAATTCAATAATTTTTTTGCTAACATAGGAACACAACTGGCAAATAAAATACCGCGTGAGTTCCATAACAACCACAGTACCACACACACAGTACCGAGCCTTGATCCTGGCATATCGCACCGTACACTGTCTCAATTCGATCCATGCACCGTCAATGAAATAACAAAAATAATTGATGATCTGGACCCCAATACTAGTGTAGGTCTAGACGGAGTTAGTATCAAGGCTATCAAATGTATCAAAAGTTTAGTAGTCTAAAATATAACTAATTGCCTAAATCGATTGTTAACTGAAGGATTTTTTCCGGACAACCTCAAAATAGGTAAAATCACTCCAATTTATAAGTCTGGTAAGAAATCTAGTCCGGAAAATTACCGTCCCATATCAGTTCTACCTACACTATCCAAAATTTTAGAGAAAATTATATACAATAGACGACTATTTAACTGAAATCAATTTTATGTACGACAAACAGTATGGTTTCCGATCAAAATCTAGTACCCTGGGAGCAACAATTGACCTGATAACTACAATAAAAACAAAAATTGATCAAAAACAAGTAGAACTGGGAATATTTGTGGACCTAAAAAAGGCTTTCGACACAGTTAGCCATAATTTGCTCTTAAAAAAAACTACAAAATATTGGGGTCACTGGAAAAGTATACAAAATGATGGCATCATACTTGAGCAACCGTTACCAAGTAGTGAAAATTGGATCCATTCAAAGTAAACCCAAACTCTTAACGTGTGGCGTGCCTCAGGGTTCTATCCTCGGTCCATTGTTATTCCTAGTGTACATCAACAACATAAACCAAGCAGGTTTACAAGGTCAAATATCCCTTTACGCAGATGATACGTATTTATTCTACTTTGGAAACAATATATCTCGTATCATAACACTAGCTCAAGAAGACTTAAACTTACTCCATCAATGGTTTCAGTATAATCTCCTAACTATTAATGTAGCCAAGACCTCATATATAATTTTCAGCGCCAAGAATAAGAAACTCCCAATCAAAACCACCTTACTTTGACTATAAACGGAGAAACGTTACAAATAAAAAATCAAGAAAAATACCTTGGACTGATTCTCGACAGTAATTTGACTTGGAATGCACATCTCACGCATATTAAAAACAAACTTTCGTCTCTCGTTGGCCGCCTTCACAAAATAGTTCGATGTATTCCGAAAAAAGCCCGAATCCTAATATATAACTCTCTAGTAAAACCTCACTTACTTTACCTTGTAGAGGTATGGGGTAATGCAGCCAAAACCAATCTTAAACCTCTCCAAGTGCTACAAAACCGTATCATAAAAATTTTGTATAACTATGACTTTTTAACACCAACTAATACAATATATAAGGAAACTAAACTGTTTAACGTTACTCAACTTTATACATATAGCACATGCATACTAATATATAAAATAAAACATAAATTAATCCACACACAACTCACGTTTTTAACAAAGAAGCAAACAAACAAATACATAACACGCCGAGCTAGTCACCTTGTATTGCCGCCTATAAGAACAAACTATGGTAAAAATAATATAACGTATAAAGGAGCACAGTTATACAACAAACTACCTAAATTTGTAAAGGAGGCGAAATCTTTGAATGTTTTCAAACAGAAGTTACTTGCCTACCTATATTCACAACAGCTAAATACCTAACCTTAATCATTATTAAATAAAAATAAAAAACATTAAACTTGGACCACCCTATAGTTTGAATAAACAACAAAGATATTCGCTTCTTAAAAGCGACATCCAACAAAGTTATTTATACCCGCACTAAAAATTGTTATTACTAAGTTCATATAGTTATTGTTCTCATGTAAGTGACTATTGTCTTATTGAGAAATAAAGATCTTTAAACCGAAATAGCAATCAATCAATTTAAAAAAATATATTCAACAATTATTTTTCTTTCTAACAATGTGCTTTTAATATTATTTATATGTTCAATATGATTTTTAGATACGATTTCATGCGACAAAACGTTGGATTCTTGATTTTTAGGCGCTAGTAGAACATAACTACGCTTAAGGCATGCAATAATTAAAATTGGTGTTTAAAATAACCTCACGAATATAGCAAAAGTATAATAACGATTGTAAAGTGCAACCGTACATTTTAGTGTATAAGCGATTTATTTAGGTCAACGTAATTTGCGTCATTTACTTTAGTTTTTGAGCAGTTGACGTTGTCGCTCCGAACACAGTAGACGCGTTCTATATAATTATCAAAATTATTATATAATATCATTATTAATTTTAAATAAAATCATTTTTTCCTATAAATCTCTATATCTATAAATATCCGGAAAAAGTGTTTCCGCTCAGTGACCTATCGCGACATAGTGCACTAAGTGACGTGTGCAATAGCTGTTCAGTCTGCACTCTGCGCCAATAAGCGTGCAGCATCATATCATTATCAATAAGCTCCGGCCGTCGGTGTCACAACGCATCAAGGATCAAGCAGCATTTGTGGGCGTAGCGAGTCTTGGAGCGCCGCCCAGCAGTAGCAGCTTGGAGCGCATCAGGAGAATCTAAGTCTTCGTTGGGTACTCACCACCACTACAGCACGAACCCGCCAACCACCTCTGCACAATCAGCAACCAGCATCACATCAAGTAAGATCTTTCCATTTTACTTATCTCTATATCATGATGTCAGTCAACGATGTTCTCACTACGCAGCAGCAGCTGTTAACAGCAATTGAAAATTTGTATACTAATTTCAAGAAGGACGGGTCTGATAGGAAGACTCCAGACTATATCAAACGCACATTAAATACTCTAGACAACTATTGGTTGGAGGATGAGAAGAATTATCAGCATGAGAGAAATACCAAGCAGAGAAAGAATCGATTAAGAACGTGAAAGATTGAAGGAGAGATTTGACAACATTAGAGCGCATATCCGAAACTATCAGCCTTTGACAGAGGATAGACCTGAAACACCATTGTTAAAGCCCCCTACATTGGTCCCTAAAACAAATTCAATCACGCCACAAATAAGTAAGTACAAGATCAACATCGAGCAAAACGGAAGAAATGTTGAAAAAACAGAATAGCAAGTTTAAACTTTTACTGAGAGTAAAGGTCAAGGTCACATATCAAAACCTTTTACTCGAAATTAAAATACCACTTTTAACCAGAGAAAGCTATGACAACTACAGAGTTTTACCTATTCCTCAATCATATTACAATAAGATGATAAACATAATTCCCATCTCTGATTACTTTGCTGTAAACATCCAAAGAGACTCATACATACCTGTGACTGAAGTCGAAGTACAATCATGTCTACGGTCAGACCTCACCACGAAACTTTGTGAGTTACGAGGTCCTGTTTATCATATGCAAAATGATCAAAATTTGTGTATCAAGAATCATTCGACAGACCAATGTCTCACTAATACTAAACAGTTGTAAAAATTCATGGAATGCGCTCAACACTATAAACACATACTTATTTTTCTGCTGCGAACAATGCATTCTTCGATTCATATGCGCCAATCAAGTTACATCGGAACGCGTCAGCAAGGCCGGCGTTTTATCAGTCGGGAATTATTGAGTGCTCAAGGGAGACGCATTCATAATCTATCCACACAACTATCACATCCACACAATGCACGCACACCCCGATTTATTAGCCATAGATATTCCATCTATCAACAACATAATCAACTTGACCATACCTATCAGTAAAAGTGAGATAAGCCAATCAGAGGAGAGAGAACGACAAGCGTCCTTGAAGGAGATCAGGCGTCAAATCGATCAAATGAAAAAGGAAAACATAGATGTTGAAGTGTATCAGCTGTTAACCCACGACTTTCCCACTATGTCGTTATCTACGTGTTAGTGGGAGCACTCGGGGCAGCGGGCGTAGTGGTACTTTGGAAGCGAGTGAGACAAGCACGCCGGCGAAGCCTAGCGCCTGCGGCCCGCCCGGAGCCTGCACCACGATTATCTCTTCAAGACTATATTATATATTCTCTGAAGGACATACAAGTAAAATAGATCTGGACATGGAGATTTAACTACTTATTTTTATTTTATTTATTAGTGACATACTATGATAGTTTCTTAACTTTGTCATTATCTTATATCATTATAATTTTATCTTATATCATTTTTGTTGTTTTCTATCTATCTTATCACTCTTATCTTTCTCCCGGGAGCAGTGCAGTGCAACCGTACATTTTAGTGTGTAAGCGATTTATTTATTTAGGTCAACATAATTTGCGTCATTTACTTCAGTTTTTGAGCAGTTGACGTTGTCGCTCCGAACACGATAGACGCGTTCTATATCATTATTAATATCATTATATAATATCATTATTTATTTTAAATAAAATCATACTTCCTATATCAACTATCATTTAAAAGTGTTCCATACAACGATACCTTGAAAAAAAAGTGAATTTGTAGGGAGAGTGAATTTGTATAGTGAATTGTAACAGCATTCACAGATTCTCGTTACGGTTAAAGAAGTTGTTTATATGGGTTTGTGGCCGTGAAGAAAGAGGGGAGATCTCCCGCCGGGGAAGGTGTTAAGCCCGGGGAGCGGCCTACGCTCCATGTGATATTTTACGTGTCGCGTAAACTGCATCTTTATACCGTTATCTATTGGAAGCTATGATTTTTTTAAAGGATAAGGGTAACAAACGAGCACACAGTCGACCTGATGGTAAACACTTGCTGTGGACAACATACATTTACATATATCCTCGATAAAACCTCCCCATGAACTGATATTTCGGGGCGACGTCGGCAATTAAAAAGTTACGTACATTAAACGCTATAGAAATAAGTTTCATTTAATGTTGTAGTGTTCGCGTAAATATAAGAAATAATTATTTATATATTTTGTTTTGTTACCGTTTTAAAGTAAATTAATCGCGTTAAATCAATGTGTCTACTAATTTTAATTCATTGCACTATTTACATCGTTATAATTTTATTAAATCGACTATTGTTTACGTTCGGAACGTCATTGATATAGATTAAGACCAGGAATAGGTCAAGAGTAGAGCCCTGAGTCCTGACTACATCTCCACTAATTATAAGGTGGAATAATCGAACGTTCGAGGGAGGTTTTGAATATATATATATATATATATATATATATATATATTTTTTTTTAATGTACAACAGGTAGCGTATTCTTGGCAAGGCCTAGATCCTGCAACAAAAGAACCCCTTCTTAACGCCGCCGAGCATATAGCTACCGTTAAATGTTCAATTGCAGAGAGCGAGTCGCGTGGCGGCAAGAGCGTGCAGTTCGCGACGCGCGTGGAGGAGGTGGAGGGTGCGGCAGGTGCGGAGCTGGCCGAGGAGGAGGTGTGCATCGACGAGGCGTGCATGGACGCGGCGCTCGCGCTCCTGCACGAGGCTGACCCCACGGCGGGCGCGGGCGAGAACGAGGTTGCCTTAGCTCGGCTGGAGGCGCGCGTTCATGCGATGGGCCCGCTGGTGGACGCAGCGCTGGAGCGCGCCGACCGCCGCCACGCGCGTCTCACGCAGCTCAGCGCGGACCTGGTGGACGCGCTCAACCTCTACCACTCGCTCATGCGCGATCCGCCCAAGCAGCTCTACGCGCCGCCCTTCCCGCCGCCGATGCTGCCGCCCGGCGTAGCGCCCGGAGTGCCGCCCGGCGTAGCGCCCGCCGCTCACGGTGTCATGCCGCCGCACCAGCCGCACCAGCCCAGGTCTCACTAAACATATCTTTCTGTAGTCACAGGAACTTGATGATTTTTTTCACAATACGTTCATTCACCACAAAGCAAAATATTTATTTTACTGATCCACACAACAGGATATTTTATAACGGCAATATATCATCGGAGCATTTATTCCATTGTTTTCACTAATAACTCACATACGAAGACATTTTACATAAAATATCGAAATCTAGACCCAAGGCATACTTTTCTTTTCGTAAAATAAAATGATTTGGAGCGTAAAATAAAAAAAACATAAAACTTAAAAAAAAACGAGTGTGCTTATGACCACACGACTGAAGTAAAAGTTCTTTAGCTCCATCTGTACCTTTATATGTATATCGGGTGTCCGGTAATGAATGGATAACCTTGAAATGTCTTATAGTACAACTTATGGCCGTTCTGAAAAAAATAGGAAAAATAATATATCACAAGTAGTACCTTTGATATATATATTTTTTTAAAGAAAAGTCGATTTTCTGATCTTATTTTACTGTCTTGAAAACTATGACCAAAAATGAATGATTTCTATTGGTTTTTCTGTTGTTTTATTATTATACACTAACTGTGCTTATAGGTAAAATGTAAACAGTATGAATAGCTTTTGCAGTTTTTATTTAAAAAATTCGCAAATTAATTTATTTCTGAAAAACATGCAAAAAATATTATTTAAGCGAAGTTCAAACCTCTTGGGTATGAAAGAAATGTATGAATGTATGGGTGACCAATAATTTTACAATAATGTCTGTTTTGTGTAGATTTTATAATGGTATAATTCATAAATGTATCTTCCATAAATAGTGACTTATTGCCATTAATGTAGAAAAGGAGAAAATTTGACTAAGTAATAAAATTTGTAATATGGGAACATTTATTAAATTGAATTGTGTCTGATCATTGGAGATTAATAAAAAACAACATTTAAAATTAAAATATTTTATTTTTCGTTAATTTACAACAAATGTTCAAATTGTTTGCCTGACACTCTTATGCATGCCCTACATCTTCGGATAAATGATCTTCTGAGCAGTCTAGTGTACCGTCGCTCGCATATTTTTGATGCGGCTTCTCTGACACGACTGCGTAGTTCATCCAAAGACCGCACGGGCTTACAGTATACTTCCTCTTTCAGACAGCCCCAGTAAAAAAAATCCAATGGATTTAGATCCGGTGAACGTGGAGGCCACAAAATTGGCCCTAGACGTCCGATCCATCTATTTGGGTATCTGCTATTTAAATATGCACGAACCGGAACAGCATAATGCGCAGGACAACCGTCATTTTGCAGCCAATACGATTCCCTCAGCTACTCGGGAACCTCTTGTAATAAATTGGGGAGATAATTTTGAAGAAACTCCAAATAACTTTGCCCCGTTAAATTCCCCGGTAATTCAAATGGGCCAATTATCATACCATTTAATATTCCGTTCCAATAATTTATTTTAAATTGGTATTGTGACCTGTCTTCACGCACAAGATGGGGATTTTCTAGTTCCCAACTATGTAAATTGTGTAAATTTAAGTAACCGTCTCTTTTAAGCGTTGACTCATCGCTCCACAAAATTTTATTAAAAAATTGCGGGTCTTCTTCCTCTTTGCCAGCTTCTTCCAGCGCTAGCACCACCGACACCACTACCCGGCATTCTTCCTTCAGAGTAACAACCGTGGACTCTTA